TCTTGTTGATTTTTTTTTTATGGATGCTACATTTTTGGCTAACTATAAAATATTTTTCAACTAGAAGAAAAAAAAAAAAATTAGGTTTAAAAAAAAATATTATATATATATATATATATATATGGAAAAAAAAACGTATTGCTAAAGAAAAAAAAAAAGAGCTTTTAATTTTATTATTTATTAGATTTAGCTATCTATAAAATATATATTACTATTAGATTTTTTAAAGCTAAATCCAATAAGAACAAATAATAAAATTGAAAAGCTAAAGCCTCATTTCCTTTAGTAGCATTAACATTATTAAATTCAGACTAATAAAATTAGCATGATGCTAATCTTTCTATAAGCTTAGATCTTACCTTATAAGATTGCTAGCCTTTGTTTAATACTTTGACCATTAGATTATTGTAGTCATTACTGCTATTGCAGTTTCTATCCTTTTATTTCTTATTGCCTTTTCAGTATCAGTTTTAAAAATTTCATAATTATGATAATTTTAAAACTGCAATGCCTAGCAAATATTGACAATTGCTTGTTTTTTGAATATATTATCCAGTAAATTTTTATATAATAAGTGGCTTTGGGTTGTTAATAAATGCTTAAAGCCACTTAGTTGTCTTCGAAATTTCTAAAATAAATTAAAAAAAAATTAAATAAAAATTAGTATAAATAAATTAAAATAAAATTAAGTAAAAATAAATAACAAAATAAATAAATTAAATTAAATTAATGAGTAAAAATGAAATAAAAAAAAAGTAAATAAATTAAATAATAATAATAATAATAATAAGAATTTTGCTATTTACCACCACTGGTGATCATCACCAGTGTTGCTATATCTCAAAAATGTACTAAGTAAACAGGATCAGGTATTCTAAGTAAAAAAGGTTGTTAATAAAGAAGAAGATAAAGTAAAAGAAGTTGTTGATAAAAGAAAGGCAAAAGAGATTGTTGAAGAAGATAAGATGAAAGAGGTTGTTGATAAAGGAAAGTTGAAAGAGGTTGTCAATAAAAGAAAGGTGAAAGAAATTGTTTATGAAAAAGGTAAAACAAAAAAGATTGTTGATGAAAAAATTAGAAAGATGAATATTAGTATACATCAGCTAATTTTTATATTAATTGGTGATCCACGA